GGCAGAGTATGGGTTTTTTTATAAAAAGTAGTTTTACAAAAAATATAAAAAAAAAAAACATATATATATATATATATATATATATATATATATATATATATATATATAACTGGATGTAAAGATTGGATGGGTAACAAGAATAGATTTAGGAATAAAATTATACATGTAGAACCAGGAACATGAAATAAGAAATATAAATATTTGCTATTCTGACTACTGTTGAATATTTCACTGTAAGATGTAGATTTTAGCAGTAAGCAACGATTGTTTAATTGAGCATGCTACTGATATTAGGTCAAAGTCGTTTATGACTAGTTTCCCTTTTGCCGACTGATCATATAAATTAATCGTGACTTCAACCTTTGCCTCATTGCTGAAGCAAGTCTAAGATGTACTTAGAAGGACAGTCATTTCCTTCCTTGTGATAAGCAAGAACTGAAACCGAACTTAAACTTTTCAACATTTTGTCACATGACATTTACAAACTTCTAGGTTTTACAGGAATTTCACTGTATCTAAAACACCAACCTAAAATATATTGTGAAGTTCAGTTTTTTTTTTTGTTTGTTTGTTTTTTGCAAATGGAAAACATGGGAGATGGTGGTAGTAGCAGCATCATAATGTGGGGACATTTTTTCTGAGGAAGGACTGAGAAGCTGGCTAAAGTTATAGAGAAGATAGATGTAGCAAAACAGGGAAATCCTGGAAGGAAAGTTGTAAAATGCAATACTGGGCCAGGGCCGAGATTTGCCTTCCAGTAGCAAAACAATCTTGGACATCTTGACATAGACACAAGATCTAAGGATGTTCATGTGTTGCACACATGCTTAAATACTGTACATTTTAATAATGGTTTTAGAGCTTACCTTCTGCCTGACTAGTGACCCCAGTTTCTCTCAGATCTTCAACTCAGACACTTGTATATTTACATATGTTTACACAGTGTGTGTTGAGCATTGTTTCTTCATACAAAGGCAATTCTGGGAGGAAACACGCTCTTGAGGCTCAGTTAGCCAGCAATTACATTTTCTTGTTATATGGAAAATGTAGTTGATGTTTGAAGATGGAACAAAAAAAAAGAAAAAAAAAAAAAACTGCTTCCACGAGTTTTAGGTGTTAGTACTCTATACAATGCAAACCACAGGAGGCTCCTGTAGGACAATGGTCATTTCCTAAAATCTATTTTTAAAATTAGGCCAGCAGATGAAAAAGGACTTTTCATTTGGCCTGTAAAAATGTTTGATCTTTGAAGAGATATTTTGTCTTTGTTTGAGGTTGCACCTGTTCACCAGCTGTGCTGTTTACATTCTCAAATCTACAGCAGCTGCTAGACAAGCAACCTTTAGAAATTATATAGCATGACTATCATTTAATAACAGATATTATAAGAGATTCAAGACATTAAGATTCATGCTTTCCACCTTTGACCATATTTAAAGCAGACAAATTCATAAAAATAGCCATTTTTTTAATGTGAATGTGTAAGAGCTCATTGCAACATGTATGAGTCATTCTGCTCCTTCCTATTTTTATTTTTTATTTTTTTCATAAAAAAGAAGTCTCATAGTTTGCAAAGGATTCAGTTGCAAAATAAACATGCAACATCATACTAATGATGATAAAATCAGTGGCGTGTTGATAAAGAGGTGAACTTTGACCAAAGTGGAGTTCTGGGCAGGAAAAATGTTAATAACATAACAACTTTAACTGCACGGTTGACCTACTGCTCACTAAAAGAGGGAACCAACTTATTCTTATCAAAAACATCACAAGTCTTGCATTGCACTGCATTATCAGCCTTGACAATGTGAATTACCACAACATTAAGGACATATTCACTCCTTTGGTTCTTTCAGTGTCAAAGAAATATTTTCAGTGGAACATGTTGAAAGTTTTATCTTGTCAAAAGGGCATGTTGGTGGCCCAGGACTGGCTGAAACTTGTTCATTTTTCCATATATCAGGAAATGATGTGTCTAATAGCAGAGTTGCATGGTCAGCAATATGTAGTTTTCCATTTTAATAAGGTTCTTAAGCAATAGCAAAAAAAAAAAAAAAGTGTTTATTTTACTTGAGGGTTTTTATACCATATTATTTCCTTGGAAAATCTACAAATCTAAACATGCTCCTTTTAAAATGCCAGTTATTTTTTTTCTTTTTTTGTCCTGCAGGGATATTCAAGATCAGACCAGTTACCTTGAAGCTGTAAAAAAAAAACACACACGGCATATCATCGAGACTTAGAAAGCATGATTTTGGACAAAAACCTTTATGAAAGTCCTGCAAATGACCATTGTGTTGGTGTCAGATGAAACTATAAGAAAAGGGAAAAACCATAGTGACCAATTGCATTTTGAGGAGAAAGGTCAAAGCTTGGAGACCTGAAAAGAGCGCTGCAAAGGAAGGGAGATCTTCACAAAATGAATGGCATCTTGAGAAAAGTCCATTAACTGGATATTTACAACATCACCACTGCGGTATTCTGCAAGATTGTAGGAGAACAATTCTTCCTGACATTGTACAGCCTTAAAGAAAAGTGTTTTGTTTGGTGCTGATGAAGCAAACCAAGACATCCGACATGAAAATGACCTTATTCATAATGCTAAATTAATTAGAAAGCAGTTTAAAGACCACCATGGTGATTTTTCAGAGTCTATTTTTTTCTGAATTTACTGGAAACTTTGTGGGAAGCAGGAAAACAGGCATGAGAGAAAGGCAGCCTACAAGCAGAGGCACAACTACATAATTTCTATGTGGAAACATTGTAGGCATGCTTTAACCTTCTCCCTCTTCTGTTTTTTGTTTTTTTTTTTGTGCTCATGAAAGTTTTCTTTTTTGCCTCTCAATGTTTAGCTCCCTTTTAATGATTCAAAAGAAAAAAATGAGCCTCTGGGTCCTCAAAGGCACCTAATACATAAAGTCCCACTGTTATAAATCACAAAATGTACACATGCAGAAACAGCTTTTAAATACAGAAAACGTCAATTAAAAATTATTTTTGCGTCAGAAATGTACCGCTTCATCCGGCACTATGCCCCTGTGCATCACAAACAGTGCATGTCCACCATTTTCACCACCGCCTATGAACATGACTCACTTACACCAGTTCTGTCCCAAGAAAGGGCAGAAATCTCAGCAAACTACTGTAAAATGCTTGACCAAGGATAAACAAATGTATGATCAAATATTAGCAAAATGCGTGTGAGTTAGTAAAAGCTTGTGCGTCCGTTCGTACAGTGTACATAAACATTGGGTTTCAATTGCAGGTTTTCAGCACAATTTGGAACTAAAACTCTTGGTTTCTTACAACAAAAACTCTACTTTTCTTATTTCACACAATCTATGTTCTCATTCCAGATGTTTAAAGTACCAGAATGTTGTAGTTTTTGTCTTTTTTAAAAAGGTTCCAATCCAGTGGTCTAGTAGGCTTTTTAAGGCCTGGAGTTTTGCCAAGGATTATGTCAGACCTCAAATATTATGGCATGCTCTGATTTCTGTATGGCTCAGTGTTAGTTTATAAAAAAAAAAAGTTTAATAATTTAAGAAGAAAAATGTTTTAAAAAATAGCTAAATGTGTCAGTATTTTCCCTGGATATACCGTTTTCTCCTACTATCGAACGTAAACAATGATACAGACTTTAGATTTGGATAGTTGTCTCTGAATCACCTAACTTAAGAAACAGCATATTTTGGACAAATTATATTCAGGTGGAAATAAAGTGAGCTGATCAGCAAAACAAACCTCCACAGCAGCAGGGAACAGACTTATTTTTGCATCCGCAGGACTCAGGCACCGTGCAGTCACTGAATCAGCCGTGGCCTCCTCCATGTCCCAAAGGATTCCACAGACAATGCAGGGAAATGTAACTCGAAAATTATTCCAAACACACCATCAAATCTCCAATAGCTCCCTTAATAAAAGTGTATAAAGGTGGTGAAATGACCCACTCAAATTCCAGACCCTCACTTACAAAAAATAAAATAAAATCTGAACTGTAGAAGGCAGTGATTTAACTTGTTCCCAAAGGACAACTTTCTGAAGTTGTAGAGGATGTGCCACAGTTCCACTAACATGATGTGTTAAGACTTCTTTCGTTGCCTTACACATTTTCAGAAATTATTAGAGCATCGGAAACCCTTTAAGCTGGGGGAAGATTTAATTTGTAATGACAGTGATTGTGCATCTATCAGCAGCTGACAAGGTGGAAAACAAACATACAAACAAAAAACTTTGAAAAACACAGACCAGACAGAAATCACGTCAACATTGGCCAAAAAGTAAAAAGTCTATAAAATGAGAACAAATATAATAAAACAGACCAAAAAACAAGATGATGCCCAATTACATTTAAAATTACACCTGATATTAAACTGTAAATATTTTGAACAAATGCATTCAAATTAGTTATTTTTTACCCGACAGACTTGAACTGAACACAGTCCTCCTTGGTTTCATTAAATGGGAATGAAAGCTGTTGTTGTCCTTATTAAAATATGAGGCCTAGCTATAATAGATTAGGAGTTTGGGTATATTATATTAGTATGTTGGAATTCTAATGTTCATTAGCAACTTATGTGAGAATAAAAAGATAGAAAGAAAGTAAGCAGGTAGAGTCCAGGTTTGAAATCAATATATAATAATAATCAATATGTGAACTGAGTCATGATTCATCCATCCATAAACAAGAATTCAGATAAAGGAGACAATTAACGAGTCGTGAACTTTCTAAATGTACTTTTTATGTTTCGTACCTTGAAAATGTTTTTTTTCTTTGTAAGTATTTTTGTGTTTGGAAAACACGGAGATCTTTGGTTGATAAAATGCAGAGCAGTGTACATAATCTTTGAGTGCAGCATTAAGATTATGTGTGTATTTTTTGCCCTTCCCGTTGTATAAAAGATATCCAGTGAAGAAACGCGAGCCTCGCGTGGAAATAGCGCCACCGAAAATGAGTTTTAAAAGCGTGAGTTGAAATGAAATGAACTACTTGAATTCCTGCATTTACAAACATATTTTTAGAGCACGACTAGATTTTTACCTGTTACTGTTACCTCTTCAGAAAAGTGTCAGAACAAACTTATAACTGAGGGATTCACATCTCTAGGTACCGTCGACATTCTTTAATGAAAGCGAGACATAATTTCAAGATGAACACCTGTTAACCAACTTCATAAAATGTTTTTTTTTTTTTTATGTGTAGCTCCCGTTCCTCTGATGCTCTGTGCGCAGAGCAGACCGAGCAAATTGAATCCGACCAGGGAAATTGTTACGGCGGAAGGGGGGGTTGAGTTGTAAGGTTATTATAGGTTGCGCCCGGGAGAGAAGAGAGTCCTCAGCCCACTGCGCTCCCACTGCTGGAACCAATCAGAGGACTCGTGGCTTGGAGGAGGGAGAGGCTCCCCAGCCCGCTACAAATACTCCGTGGTTCAGTTTTTAATTCATGTGCTTCAGTCTGACACAGAAAAGGAACCGCCTGGTTTCATTAGTCATACGACTGCCTCCCTGCAGAGCCTGTAACTCGTGGTGGGACACCTCTCGCAAACCCTGTTCAAAAACTTTCCCTCAACTTTTCTACTGGGCAAAGTTACTTTAAAAAAAAAGAAAAGAAAAAGCAAAAGGCACACTTTTTTGTGTGTGTTTGCTGGAGAAAGGGCGTAAAACTTTCTCGGTGAAAGAAAGTTAACCTGTCCATCCATCCTTCCAGCGTTCAGTCTTGCTGCTTGCATCTGCCAACAATGACGCGAAGATCCTGCGCTATCTACACGGTGGGGGCCATCTGCGCCCTCCTGCTGGTCAGTGGAATCGCCTTGATGGTGGCTCAAGTATTCCGCAATTTGATGCACAAACGCCTGAAAAAGGTAGAAAACTTGAATCTTCTGACTTTCACTTTTATTTAGCAACTTTACTGCCTCCTTATATAGCGGGAGAGTAAAGTTCACTCGTTGCCTCATGTGGTAAAAGCCTGAGAATGATGTGACTGTGTGAACAAACCCTACAGATTCCCTACTGTCTTCAGTTATATACAGCTGGGACACAGGAATTTCAAATGACTGGATTGTAATCACGCAATCATTATGATATGATGTTTGTTTCCACTTAGCATGGCAGTTTTTAGTTTTTGGTTTAATAGATAGTCATATTAAAATGAAAGCCAAATGTGAAACGATAGTGTAGCCTTCTGTCAAAACAAAACAACAACAAAAAATGCCATGTTGTCATCACCTTGCAACCCAAAACCTCAATATATTTCAGTGGGATGAAAATTCCAGACATTTGTATTTACAAAACTGTCTTTTGTTGTGGCATGAAAGCTGTAACAACGCTAGAGGAAGGCAACACCAAATCTTTAACTTTTTGGGCTACATGCCAAACAACCACACATCAATTACATTGCGAAACACAAGGAGGTGGCTGCATCATTTGAGGGATGCTTTTCTTCTACAGGGGAAGCTGTCTGAGTAGATTTGTGCACTGGTATTTTGTGCAGTCCTTGCAGTATTTTGTGCAATCCTTGCACAAATTCCCGGGGACTCCTGGAAGAAAACCTGTTAGAAGTTGGAAAACTCTTGAGACTTAGTCAGACGTTCACCCTTGATATACATCTAGAGCAACAGTGGAAGAAGGGTCAGGGTGTGTAATGTGACAAAATGTGGGAAAGTTCAATGGCTGGTAATACATTTGCAAAGAACTGTTATGTTTTTATCCTAATTTTATTTTAAAAAAGAATAAAAAAAAAAAAATCTAAACATTTAAATATCTCTGTGTTCTATTTGTTTTTATGGTTAGCTGATAAGCATTTTGGCCAAAAGGTTCAACTGGGCACAAATGTCCTAATCTAGAAGCATAAGAGGAAGCATTCAAGTGTCATAAAACGAAGCAGCAAATACATTGAACTTTTGCAACATAAGCTTTATAGGAACAAATTTTAAGGAATTACAGTTGTTAAACTGTTTCCAAGTAGTAGTAGAAGATTTTACAAGAAGTTGCAGATGGATGACTTACTAGGAATTAATTGTGGGTTCAGTGGCCGGTGCAGTGCAACCAGCATTTCTTTATGCCTTCAAATGGTCTGATTAAAGTCCTATTTTATTCTCCTTCAGCATGCAGTAAAAGTGTTGTGTTAATAAACTTTGCCTTGGAGCCTATTTTTGCAAAATATTTCTGCATGTTTTTCATGGTGCTGCATAAATGTAAGACATTTCAAGGGGTCGAGTCAAACAGAGCCAACAGTCAGCAAATTGTCAGGAGTTTTACTGAAAGTGGCTTAGTTGATTATCTCACTTCAACTTTTAAGATGCTGCGGTATGAATAACCACATCTATCACCAGTAAAGTTTTGTCAGCATATTCCCTGTATATGTTTGCAACCATCAGATTACTTTCATGCGACAGAACATTTTATGCCATGTTAAATGTCAGAGGTATTTTTAGGGGCTTATAATTAAATCTCAGATTAAACATACAATTACTATTTCTTTTACTCCCATTGCATCACAGGTCAAGGCAAATTCACATAAAAATAAAAGATTAAACTCATAAACATTTATTTCCTTGTTAGATCTGAATGCAGCAAACCGCAAACTAGAGCTATTTATTATTTTTTTAACACAACAATGAACACCTTACAGAGACACTCAAGTCATACTCGAATCTCATACTTGACACTCCCTGAGTTCAGTATGAATTGCCAGACTGAGTCCTACTGAACCAGAACAAGTAGGACTCAGTCAGTATGAGTCATACTGAATAAATTCTATGTCGGGTACAAATTGATGAGGAGTGAAAACGTTCTCGAGTAGTTTTCTATATTTCATTATCAATCTCTGGGTTAAGATCATCAGACCAAGTAGTGCGAAGATAACTAAGCCCAGGAGTCTAATTGGACTTAAAAAGTTGCATATTTTTGATATTGTACCTTTTGGAGCGGGACTAATTTCTTGCAGTTGATCAGCCATAGTGGTGGCAGGAATTATTGGAAAACCTGGGAAGCTCCGACACTGTTGAATAGATTCTGCCTTGTTCCTGTACCAAACAAAGTTAGTCCTCCATGACTGTTGTTACCCTGACATCCCAGATCCTGGAAAGATTATGTTGGATCCTGCAGTTCGCTTAATGCCTTGGAGTCAGAGCTAAAGACACCATCATACACCTATAATGCAAACCCATTATCATCTGGAAAAAGAAGTACTAAAAGGATCATGTCCTTTTTATTTCTTCAAAACAATAGCAGGGTCTACTATTGTTAAACAAACTTTAATATTATCCAAGCAGTCCAAAAAGGCTTTCATTGAAAAGCTGTCCTTCTGCTTTAAGGTGGTGGGACTTTGTTGATGGGTCTTGATTACTTTGAATCTGATATTCATCAGCAAAGAAAAGGAAAGCAATTTATTCGATTGCTCCTTATTATGGAGCCAAGGGAAGAGATAAAATAAAAAAAAGAGGAGCCCTAAAGTTGAGCTTTGTGGGACCCCAAATGATAGAGGAGCGCATATTCAGTGGCTAAAATGTTGACACAGTAGGATTGATCAGCCAGATAAGATCTAACCCAAACAGGACATGATATTAAGATACTGTGTTTTGAATGTCAAGAATCCATTGGTACCATTGTAATAGTGTTGCACTCTCACTCTTTTTAGACTGATGACATTTGTGTAACCTGTCAAAAGAATGCTAATCTCACTTGCCTGTTCTTTCACTCGTGGAAAACTTCACTGAAAGGAACTACAGGGAAAACACTCCAGATTGTCTCTGGTGTGTAATAGTTGTGAAAAGTAGACCGATAATTAATTGTTAATTAACTGTCTTTTGTAAAGTTATTACATGTGTTTTGTGTTGTCTGCACTACTTTGTTTGGCACTTGGTTGTGTTACTATTGGAAATATCTGATTTTAAGCAGGATGCTACATGGAAGTGACCAGTAGAGGGAGTCTAGCCGTAAAGCTGGTAAATCCTTTTGTGATGAGATCATAAAGTTGGTCAGACTCCTCCTGTCATGTCTCATCTCTCCTCTGCCCCATCCTTTATTGTCTGGTTGCGTTTTGATGTTGCTTTTGTTGTTGCTGTAACGCTTTACATCTCATTCATTTCTAATCAGTTGTAAACAACTTGGTATCCAAGCTTTTCCTTTCCTCAAAGGCACTGAAGTAATGAACTCTCAGCTGTGATCCCCTCTGCAACTAACAATATCATTTGCTCATTGGCAAGATCAGTGACTGTAGCTCTAATATGAGTTTTATCTCTGCTGTTCAAAGAAGAGAGAACATCAACGTTGCCATCTACACATATTTGCCTCCTTTGGCTCAACTCTTTCAATGCTTTGGTTCAAAGAGGTTTGCAGATGTTTGATCTCATTCCCAGAGGCGCCCGATTCAATGAGCCATGTGTACAGAGCAATATAGGCGTCTTGTTTTTTTGTTTTCACAAGACTCTCAGATCCACACTTATGGGATGGCTAGTCCAAAGCTCTTTCGTAGTAGACAGCAAAAATATTCAAAAATTCTCCTTTCTGCAAAACAAGAGATTAAAATTATACAGAAAAGACAACAGCCGTAGCCCAAGCTATAGTCACCACCTGACCTTGGCAACTATGAAGGTCCTGCTAACATGCACTGCTCAGGTGAAGGAATCTGTCAGCAAAACTATTTGTGGGCTAGTCAGGAATGACACCTAAATCCAGCAGAGAACGTGTGACAAGAGGTGTTCTTCATGTTATGATAACTGATCAGTGTCAGAGGAATATTTTTGTTTTAATCAGAATAGTACTATTTGTTGAAAGTCATCAACCAATCATGATGCAAATATGTCTTGTAATAATGGCCTAAAATTCTAGCAGAGAAATTCCTCTTAAATCATGACATTAACAAAATAGTTACCCTCTGGGGGAGTGGGCTTAGATTTATGTGAGCAGATGCAGGAATAAGTGGAGTCATGGGAAGTTCATTCTGTTCAACTTGGCAACGTCTCCTGAAGTTACTGTAAATATGGATAGGAAAGCCTGATGGAATTCAAAATCACAGCAAAAGCAGCTAAAAACTTTCCAGAAATGGTGAAGTGAAGTTGCGATTGTGACTGCGTTTGTAGAGGCTGCAGAATTGATTCATTGCTTTGTCTACAGTTGACACACCAAAGTCCATGTTTTAGTTTCGTCTCCCACTAGGAATCAGTCTTGATTTTCTGCTGACAGACCACAAAACTAGCCACAAGATTTGGAGGGGAAAACTGATACTCGTATACAATCTAGACTTTGAAGATAACAGTTAAAACGTTAAGTGACTCAGAGCCAGTGAAACAAAAACATATTTATTGCATCCAGACTGGACAATCAAGCAACTGTTTTTCTTAAAGGCAGGCTAAAGAGGAGCCCCTAAAGAGACATTGAAGAAAAGAATAAAAATAAATGAACTTTCTCGCACACATGAGATAGTATGTGGTGCTCACATATTATCTTGTGTGCACCAGACTTTATTTTGATATTTTTTTAATTAAAACATTATATGTAGTTTTCATATAAACAAATGTTTCACTTGGAACATTTAGTCCTTTACCTTACCCTTGCTGAAATGTTTGATGACAGATGGAAATATTTACTTCCTGAATTCAAAACTTACAAAAGGAAGTAGAGGTGTTAGACTAAAAGAGGTGAATGTCACATTTTTTTTTTTAAAAAAGAAGATTTTCCTCCCCATAACTTCTCAAATTTTGCACTAATTCATTGATAAATTGTCATGAACAGCTTTGCAATGTTCTTTACACCCAATCGATATTTTTTTTTGAGGGGCAAAGTCCTCCCCCCTCCCACCTTAAAAAATTGAGCAGTTTCCCTGAGTTTAAAGATGCTGAAACGTCTCCATATTATTGTAAAACTTTCCCAGAAGCTTCACCTTACTATGAAAACAGTGCAGCCAGGAAAACGACATTACTCTGATGTTAGTGTTATCACACACTACACCTTCATCTTTAGTTTCAAATCAAGCCTGCTTCTCCATTGCAAGTATCAGGTTGCTTTTAGGTGAGAGATTTTTAAATCATCCTTTGGAAAATAACTGAATACTACTGTTTGCAGAGAGTCAATAATGTAGGTTTATTAGCAGAATTATTTAATGAAATGAACTCAAGACATCAAGAACTTTATCTTTTGGTTTTGTGTTGTTGCAGTTCTTCTCTGCAAAAGATTCAATTGGAAAATATTTTACTACATAATTTTTATTAACTCTTCTTCTGTGCCCCTCAACTTTTTATTTTCGCATAACATTGGCTGTGCTGATATAAATGGCATATATTTTGGTCATTTTGTGCATAGGATAAATTGCAATTTTAAATTCTTTTGCTGTTCTGTTTTTGTTTTAACAGTTTTAATTGCATCTGAGTTATTATTATTATTTATTTTATTTTTTTTACATAGTCAGACTATTTTTTTTACATCTACTCTACCAAAAGCTACCAGTTCATCTATATTATCTATGGGAGGAAATAAGATTACTTTTTCTGATTTTTTTTTTTTCTAAAAATGAAAATACTTTTTTATAAATAACACCCACATTTGAGGGTTAAACATTTTTAAGAAAAGTTGCTTTGTATGACAAACACACAACTTAATAATATTAAATATTAATTACGATATTAATAATATTAAAATTTGTTGATACATAATGTTAGTGTGATATTTTAAAAAGCAGGGTTTTTTTTGTCTCCAAGCGACAAGTGGAGCATAACATGAAGGGACCCTCAGTAGTTAGATCAGACATTCCTCTAAGAACAAAATGTGGCAAGAGAAAAAACATGGCAGTGGCATTTTCGAATAAGTGAAAAATCAGATTGGAAGTATTCAAATAATCAGATTTTTTTGTACTTGAAACTTTCTTTGCATATAGTGTTTTTTTATGTTATGATATAAAAGAAAACAAAACCCAACTCTGACACATTAAAATCAGTGCAGGAAACTTGCGTTCTTTGCCCAGTTATTTGTCAGCCAGTGTGAAGTTCTGTAGCTGTATCAAGTTACTGCTTCACGCGACCAGAAGCAGCGTAGAGGATCTCCTCCCACATGTGTCTTTCAAGCCCTCGTCTCTCTTTGTTTGGTCAGCCTCTTTTATTGTTTGAGATTTATTAGGCAACCTCTGTGTTTTAGTGTGACGTCAGCAAGCAATGATTCTTTACAGAGACAGAGTTATAAGAATATTTTCTTCATTTTCGTTACTTAGACCATTACTGGTTGGTGTAACATTTTTATTTTTGCGTTGTTGAGAATATGTTTAAAGAAAACATTGTGAGTTGAAAACATACCAAAATGACATTGGTGTCTTTTGAACAGCACACTACACATTATACCGCATTTCTTGTTTTTCCCTTAGTAAATTAAATAATTATTTAAAAACTGCAATTTGGTCATAATTAAGTGAGGCCTGCAGTGTATTATAAGGATGTTTTAGCCACCTCCTGGATGAGTTGATGCCCTGTTGGAGTAATTTAGTTGGCCAGTCACTCATACTGCCAAATCCTTAGAAATATTTATTTTATTACTGGTAGATAAAACATATTGTGTTGCTTTTTGAGGCCTTTTCTTGCTGTCAGGTTGAATTGAATGGATTTTATTTATTCCCTTCAAAAATCATCTTTTGAAAACTGGCTTTGTTAAATCATGTCTGCAACTCTGAAACACCAAAAAAACAATGTTGTTCACAAAGTTTTGTTCCAATAGTCCAGCTTCAATCTCTCTGTTGTTATTGTCGGACCCCAAAGGCAAGAACGAATCTCTGAGTCAGACCCATTATAAATTTGGTTATTTTACTAAATTTAATTTCCACAATGCTGCAGATTATTTTGCTTAGCAGGAGGAGGCAAACACTTTTAAAGAATGTAAAGCTTTTGTGGCTCGACTGGAAGATTTTAAGAACCGCCTCCAGCTGTTTTTCACATCTATGTATGTATTTGAACATCGCCACATCAAAGCGCAGGTTTCTATGCATGTTTGTGTATTCACCTGCCACGTGTGTTTATGTATCGGGTGTGGTGCAAAGGTAGCGATGTACAGAGATACAGAGATGAGAGGGATTTTTTGTTCCTGCTTCCCATGTATTTCGCGTAGCATGCTGTGAGGGTTATACTATTGATTATTCAGAGCGTAAAAGGGTGACAGACTCTGTTTCTCAATTTTAAGCGACAATTTTGTAATCCTTGGCTACTCTGCTAAGGTTTTGTCTCATAGGACAAACAATAAGGGACTCTAAAAAGAAGGGGATTTTTTTATCCCCTTGAAAAAGTTGCTAGTTGCTTGGTGCCTACAATAAATTTGACACAATTAGGTCATATAATCTTTTCTCCTTACTCGTTGTTTGGAAAAAGACCAACCCCAATTCTATTCTTATTCCTTGTGTTGTAGTTTGAAAAAAATACCTCTCTGTTTCATCGTACTGTATAATCAAACAGGGTGGTCGGCAGCGCTCCTCCTGTGGGGCCTCAAAAAGCTAGATCCTGAGGAATGTGGCTCAGATCATCAAGGTCCCCCACAAACAGCGGGCGTCAGGCTCCATGCATCACATGATCTGTCAGAGGCGCTCTCTCCAAGTGCCTGTCGTCAAGGGAAACGGCTGACAATGGGGTGGTGGAAGGGTCCCCTCTCACACCATTTATGTTCGCAGCCAATGCTGTTGTCCGATGCTAACGCAGCCGTTCCCCCTTCCCACACACACGCGGACACGCACGCACACACACACACACACACACACACGCACACACCCACACACACACATTTCCCTGCACCCACCCAGAAGGATGTTTTTCTTCTTGGGGTTGTTTTCACTGCGAGTGTACTGGGAGAACTTCAGATTTAAAACATGCAAGGACAGAGTCATGTGATTAAAACTGATCCACGAATCATTTGTATGCTGCAACGTGGAAGGTTTCAACCAGCTCATTTTCTTTGCTCAGAGGATGTATGGAAAATGAAATAGTGTCTGATGTTCGGTTGAAAATGCACACCAAACTTGCTACAATTGGGCATAATGACCTAGAAAAGCGGCAGATGCAAAGCCATAGCTACAAACACAACATTTTAAGTAGTTTGGGAATTTTTTTTTTTTTTCCGTTGGTTTGAACTTTAAGAAAAAAGCTACAAAAAGGATAGTATAATTTCATTATTTTTGTGTGATTTTTGTTTATTCTTCTCAACAGGAAATTGTTTTAGTGGAAGGTAGCCGCGTGTTCGAGTCATGGAAAGCCCCTCCCCCTCCTGTCTTCATGGAGTTTTTCTTCTTTAATGTGACCAATGTAGAAGAGATCCTTAAAGGGGAAAAACCGGAAGTCAAGCAGATTGGACCCTACACCTACAGGTAAGTCAAAAAAGAAAAAAGAACTTTGGAACTTGAAATGTCTTTTTGCAGAGTGACATGCTTATTTTGCTCAAGCGATAAAATATCCTTTTTATTTTGTGGTAATAGGGAAAAAAAAATAAGTTATGTGGACCATTTTATAAAACAATTTGCAAAATTGTTTTATAAAGATGTTTAACAATAGCTAATGTTAAAAAAACAAACAAACAGAAAAACAAAAAACAACAGCCGTAATTATCGCTTTTGTGTGTTCCAAAAGCAAAAAGTAAAAAAAAAAATAATAATAAAATTAAAAAAAAATCAGATTTTTAATCCCAGAGTTCGAATCCCAGGTGTCGATCTGCATTAAAGTTAGAATTAAGGCTTTTGTCGAGTATATTCTATATCCTCTCCTATAGTTAGTATGCACTTCCTGGCATCAAGACAAATTAATATGCATTTATAAAGATGTAGTTGACCCCAACATGCAACTTCCTGCTGAGGTTATTTTAACATTGAGCTTTGGAGATCTGTTCCACCTTTTTTGTTATCCTCCTGAACATATATCTGGGTCACCTAATTTTTCATAACACAAAGGTACAGGGCGACTGTGTCACGTCACATTTTTAACCTGGGGAAACATAAGATGTGATGTTAGATTAAAATTCCCAAGAATCACTGAACAACTTTTTTTTTAAAAGAAAGTCAAACTAATTTCTGATGGTGATTTTTTTTTATTCCTAACTGAAAATTTTCCTTTTTTTCTCTCTAAATTAATATTGATGTATTTGATAAAGGGTTGATTTAATATTCCAAGTTTTAATTCAACAGAAAAGTAATCTTTTTTTTTTTTCTTAAATGACTGTTTGTACAGAGAGTACAGGTATAAGGACAATGTCACCATGTTGGACAATAATACAAAGGTGTCGGCGTACAATGCCAAAAGCTTTGTGTTTCTGAGGGATAAGTCTGTTGGTGACCCAGATGTCGATAACATCACCACTGTCAACATCCCCCTTTGGGTAAGTCCTTATTTAAAGGTTGGAGATAAGTGGAAATCCAACTGGGATTGTGTGCTCCCACTGCATTGCGCTGCTCACCACCAGCTTATCCTGCAAAATCGGTTGTATTTTCTCATATCTGTTCAAATCCTTGACTCCAGGCTGCAATGAACAAGGCCCAGGGATACAAGAGCTTTCTTTTGAACTTCATGATAACCAGCACCAAAAGTCATCCCTTCACCACTCGAACTGTTCAGGAATTACTTTGGGGTTATGAAGATGCTTTGTTGAACCGCATAGCCTCATCCGGTACTGATGTGGAGAGGGTTTTCGGCCTCATGTACAAGGTATGTACAGGTTTAGCAAAAAAAAAAAAAAAAGATAATAACAATAAAAGCTCTTCTGTATTTTAGCAATATTACAAAAGAGAGGTGACTTTTTTTTATAAACTTTCTCTTACCATCACACAGGAAAATGTAATTTTAATGAGCTCAATGTTTGTTTGGCACAGAAAAATGAAAGCAGCGACGGAGAATTTGTCTTCCACACAGGAACGCAGAACTACTTAGATTACGCACGCATCGAAACGTATAAAGGGGAAAGGTAACACTGATGCAGTCTCACACAAACACACCCAGGACACAACAGAATTGCTCTTCTCATTGTGGCAGCATGTTGGGGTAGATGTTACAGCGGTTCTGATTTGTTCCTTTTGTAAACTTTTGTTTATAATTTCTTTGGTTGAATTCTTACATGGTTGGTTGGACAATTATTCCCTCTGCTTTTGGCTGCAGTGCAGCTGGAAGAAGTTTTGCCTTTACTTTCTTACTTAGTGTTATGATGGGTAATCAGGGCAACTATTGGGAACAGCTGAAGAGCATCTGAAAAGCTCAATACCTGAATTACAACCTCAAATACCAGAGAGTGTGAAAAGTAGTCTTCCTGGATGCAGAGCAGGACCAATGAGTAGAGAGAGAAGATGAAGGTTCAAACCGTCTCATAACCCCGACCCCCAGCATCTCTCTGCCCGGCTTTATAGCAAGACTGAGACAGAAAAAGGAGTAACAAAAGCAAATGAGGAGGATTAGCAAGACAGCTGATGGCGTCATCCAGGGTGTGTTACTGTGGAATGTCGTCTCTGCTGCCCAGAAATTCACAAATTACTTTGAAGACACTGGGATGATATGAGCTGCGACATTTAATTTCTCTTTGGGATAAATAACGTATCTTTGAATTTGAATGGGTGTGTTGGGTAATCTCTGCCTTTCGCTTTTTTTTCTTGTTGGTCTTGCCTGCAACTCTTACTACAGAAAGCTGGACGGAACATCCTGCTACTCAAAAGGCTTTTAAATAGCCTTATCTTATCCAGATTTCTTATCCTTAAGTGCTATAATTACCCGTTCGCACTAGGGAAGCTGCGTTTTGAAGTGCTGTAGATTAAACCATTCTTGATCATTTCTAAAATGAGCACAGCAAACATGTTGATGTAGCAAATGTGGCTTTTGGAAAACATCCTGTGCTTTTTATTTTTTTCTGTGACCACTTTTTGTCTGTGAAAAATAAAATTGCTCGCTAAACCTGGCAACAATAGAGATAGTAGCTACAATACAGAAAACGATATATTTTTTAACTTCTTAAATTAAGTAATTAATTTTGAGCTATGTTCTGAATTTAACAAAAGCCTAAGTAATCTGTAAAGATGTAAATACAGGCTATATGAACAGTTGCGACTGGTTTGTTGGCAACAAAGAACAATGTTAATTTAATTTGTCTTATAGGATGCTCAAATACTGGTCAACTAATGAGAGCAACCGCATCCTTGGATCAGACGGAAGTGCTTTCCATCCCTTGCTAAACAAGAGCGAACGTCTTTATGTCTTCTCTCCAGACCTGTGCAGGTAAAGTTCAGGACCACACCACCCTCCTGCATGACCTTTCATGTGCTTTGAAATAAAGACTTTGGCAGGGTCTTTCCACGTTCACTTTCCATAGGGAGTGAAATACAGAAGCACTGTACCAGGAAGACTTTCTATGGAAAAGAAAGATAATTAGAAAACTTAAGTAAGTAATTGCAAATAGTGCATTAATAGAAAGTAGGGAGGAAAGATAGTAGGATGGTCATAATATTCGTCAGCAGTCAGTAGACACAGTTACAGCAAAGGATAATCCAAATCATTCTAATGGAAAGCTGTAAGCCTAGTTTTTGAAGTACACTGAGTGTTTAGCTTTGGCAGAAAAATAAGAGCTGGTACCACAGGAGATGGGTCTGATATCTAAAGTCGAAACAAAAAAAACTATTAGAATATATAGGAACCATCAGTAAACTTGCATTGCAGAGAAATTACACAATATCTTCCTTTGCATAGGGACTTCTATTCCATTAAAGGCCACATCTCTTCTAATGACCAGAAATGTGATCAACAGGAACAGATTAGGTTTGCACCCCGTTGCCTGACACATTAATGAGTTCAAATTATTGTTTGCGAGGAAATACCAATACGTCTTGTTCTTGGAACCGGTTTTGGATCCCATTTGCAGCATCCTGATCACATACAAATAAGTCAACAGCAAACCTCCTTTAATTTCTGGCATCCCATGCAGTGGCGGCGTTTCATATTTAATAAAAACCTAATATCAATCAAACACTATTTTTTTTTTGATGTGCTAGCCTGACATTTCCACAACAAATGTTTTGGTAGACAAACCTCTGTGTTCAAAGCTTGGTCTGTGAGAATAACATTTTACTTTTACAAGACCATTTGAGTTTGATTTCACCACTTTTAATCCTTGTTTGTTGCAAAACATATGCGCCTTGTGCTTCTCCGTGATGAGGCCCACATCTTCCTCTTTTTGTTTTGTGTGGAAAGAATCTGGTAGAGTAATAGAGCAAGCACCTTTTGCTCTGATTGGATGTGTGCCGAAGACCCCTCACCCAAATTTTCAAAACTCTTTCACACACTTACTTTTTCCCTATTGGTGTCATTGTGTCTGACTGTGCTTTAATGACCAAAGGGGAGGCTTCCCTCCTTGTTCCTGTTTTTTTTTTTTTTTGTTTTGTTTTGTTTGGGGGTTTTTTATTAATTTGAAGAGGAAACTTTTAGTCTACTTATGTTTTGACCCTTTACACACTTACTATGGCGTGACGCCTGGAGCTGAGTGGCTAAAACATGTGCTGAATGACATTTGAGACTCATGTGCTGGTTAAAAGAAAAGTGGCACTATTCCCAACTGCAAGCTCACAGGGTAGTGACCGTTTGCTCCAGAAACTGACAGCTGACCTGCAAAAGCTGCAAAGTTTTGACAAACTGCAGACAGGTGTTGTTGTTTAAATACCATTGTGTCTTCTATCTGAAGCTTATCTTCCCCTATAGCCACTAAGGGTTTTTAAAGACCCTTTTGGATTCCCCTGAATCAGAAATAACCAATTTAGAACTTTGTAAAGTGATGAAGTATGAATATTTGAAAAATAATCTATAATCCTTGAACTTTGTTCACATTGTGTCAAGTTACAACCAACTTCTCCAATTTTTTTTTTTTTTTTTTTTGCTACAACATAATTGTGAAGTGGAAAGAAACATTTTTAACATCTTTGACTATTAGCAATTTGAAGAGCAAACTGGGTTGTACAACAATATTCAATTTGAAGAAGTGAGGGAAGACTTGCGTAGCTGCAAACTTCCCAAGACAAGGTCCTTCACCGAAACTGACAGGCAAGGCAAGGAGAGGATTATTCAACAGGGCAGCTATTTTCCACACACTTAACAGATCTGGACTTCACAAGTCCTGTTTAAAGTTTGACACAAGCCATGTAGGTGGACACAAGAAGAATTTGCTTAATAAATTGACAAGTCGGCCGTCCTCCTGAACTCACAGCCACCCGGTGGAAACCTGGTTCATCTTCCAGCAGGACAACAATAAACATGGAATCAGCACTGCTTGTGAAGATACTGTAAGTGTTGTAATGGTGTAGTAAAAGTCCAGACCTAGATCCAATTGGAAATTTGATCTATCCAATTGAAAACTGGATCTAGGTCCAAGTTGAAAATCGATGTTTGGATATATTCTCCTAAGAATATGACTGAGCTGGAGCGAAGTTACCAAGAGGAATGGGCAAACATCCCTATGTTTACAAAGCTGGGACATGCATACCAACAAGACTGCTGCAATTACGGCAAAATGTAATCAACCGAAGCTTAAATGTTTGCTCAGCTGATCTAAGCTTTCTTCAGATTGGTGCTTGTTTCTCATTATGACTACAAGACAGAAATTCCCAGTCCAGTTCTGGAAAGCAGAAACGCTTTAGGTGCTTTCCTTGGCTTCTCTCCCAAAGGTCAAGGGAAAAGGTCTACATAGTGTTGTTGCACTACTGGTATGCTGTGTTTCCTCCCAGTCAGTTGGCAGACAGTGTATGGAGGGCTTTGTTCTCGCTGAGGATGGTCCAGATTCCCCTCACACCAGATAACTGCAGTTATTCACAGAAAAAGGGATGGGCCCCTCACAATAATGCGATTCTCCTGTGAACTGTTGTAAGATTTTTAACATAAAGAAACAGATCTGAAATACAGATGAAAAAAAAAAACCTAATAAGATCAAGTAAAGGTAAAATATGATTAATTTTATTAAGAAGCTCGGTCTTGGTTAAATGGCCCTGCTTTTTGCGTGTGGGCTCCGGCAAGTGGTGTTTTTATTTATGTTCCTACGTATTAAATAACTATTAAGCCATTTGAAGTAATGCATTCAAATATGTTAGAAATGTTAACTGAGACTCCAAAGGAAACTGACATTGATGCTTGAGGACAAGCCTCAGCTTGAGAATGCATGCAGGGTTTCATCCAAATGTACTTTTGGAGAGAATGATACAGTTTAGACATATCAGATCCAGCAGGAATCTCACTAAACTTCAACAAATTCTTCTATAAAAGTAGTTTTCTGGCATCACAACTATGTGTGGTGTTACATTGGTGGGTCAAGGCCTAAGTCGTATATGCTTTGTGGCTTTGTGAACAAGTTTTGGGAAGTGGATAGCTGCATTTGACTTTGTTCTTTGACAGAGAACGGGGAAAGAATTTCATTTTTGTGGGGATGTTCCAGTCAGAGGTTTTTTGTTTGTCTTTTGAGCTCCTATACTCATCCAACTCATTGAGGATGAAGACCTTTCTAAAAGTGAGTTTTGGGTAATTGAACCACTGAGTTTATTTTGTAGATTAAATTGTAAACAAGCCTTATCTTGCCATCCACATCACAATTCCCCACTGTTTTGTGCATAATTCCCCTCAAAACGCAAAGAAATGTGTGGTTGTAACTTGGCAAAAGGTGAAAAACACTCAAGCCGCTGTGTAGGATGTCATGTGAAAATACGTAGAATTGCTGGCCAATCATTGCTACACATCACATTTCAAGCCAGGTTTAATGTGCCTGTTCTGCACTTTTTTCTTTTTTTTCCCGGTGTGAAAGTACATCCATAAATCAAGGGCACCGTTGTTACTGACCCTTGTAACTTTGACCGACTCGTTTTGTGGGAGCGCACACTAATGTCGCACTGAGCTTCTTCTGTTTAGTCTGTGTGAATTACCAAAAAGCAACAATAGAAGCTGATAAGCTGAAAGCACTTTCTGAACAGGGCTTGGAGGAAGTAAAAGGAAAATTAGGGAGGATTTGATGCTGTTGAACTCGCTGCACAATCAGGTTTTAGGAAGTTATAGGAAGAGTTTGAATGCTCTAAAGATAATAAAGATTTTGTCCAATGATATTAAAAGTTTTCAACATGCCATATGAATACTATTAAACAAAAAATAAAAAATTTGAGAAATAGCTCACATACCCTATCAGAAACAAAATTCTCAGCTGAAAGAAAATTATTTCAAATCTAAACCTGCCAGGGGTTATGAATGAATTTTGGACCTCTAACTCAAAATACCAAAAGAACCTAATTGTTGTCATATTATGTTCAGGCTGAATGCCTTAGAAATCGACTTTCTGATTATGAAACAAGAGGATTTGAAATATCCTGATGTTTTATTACTTTATTTTCTTAAAGTAATAAAAAATAGACTTTAAAAACATTCTTTTCAGTTCTTGTGTTTGAAACTGCAGCTTCTTCTCTGCTCTCTAGGTCTATCTACATGGAGTTTGAGAAGGACGTTGAGGTGAAAGGACTCCCCGCCTACCGCTTCACACCTCCCCGCTCTGTTTTGGCCAGCAAGGAAGAGAACCCGGCCAACGAAGGTTTCTGCGTCACCCCTACAGAGTGCCTGGGAACTGGGGTCCTCAAAGTCAGCCCCTGTCGGCAAGGTAATTTCCACCCTGTGTGCCACATTTATCTTTAGTAGTGTTTGAACTCCTACATGAGACTGAAGAGCTTCTACTGTAGCATTTGTTTCTTCTTTTTTTTACTCTCCTTTTTGATTTTCCTTGCCAACAAAGGGGCTTAGGGCTTCAGTTATATCACCGGCAGTAAAATTAAGCCTGACAGACTCACGTGACGCAGCTCTCCAGCCCAGGCCACACCTCAGGCACCATCTGACCATGACTGGGCCTGCAGCATGTGGCAGTAAGCTCTGTCACTTGACTGTACCCTTGAATCTGATCAGGAATGACCTTACTGCCTTTGTTTCCGGACTCTTTAAAAAAAAAAAAAAAACCTCTAAGTTACTCATTTGTTGTCTTGTATTGGCGTTACAGAGCAGACTATTTAAAAGAACAACTTACTTCACAGCAAAAAAGAAAAAAAAAATCTGAATATTGTGTTCTCACATGGATAGAGATGAAATATTGCTGTCAATCCCCCCCAAGCAGTAAAAATGGTGAAACATTAGAAGACATGTTGAAAGTTTATGAAAGCCAATAGCCAATGCTTTTGGCTGAGGTCAAGAGTTTTGTTTAGCCACCAACAAAAAGGAGTCTTGGAGTGGGAGTGGAGGATTAAGGTCACCCTGTGGCTGTGCTGATTTAAAAAAAAGGAAAGAAAAAAAAGAAAAAGAAAGTGAGTGCCGTGCTTGCTCTACAGTGACCTTGCAAGTTGTCACGTGAAGACTGCTCTCAGGTGACTGCGGGTGGGCCGATGTTTTTGTCCAGCATCCACTGCCAAACACAAGAGAAGGAAATCTGTCACCTATGCCCCACTTTGTCATCACCTCGCCCTCTTCCCCCAGTTATTGTTGTCAGCAAACACGAGCGGTGCGCAGACTGTGAAATGTATTCATTTTGCTCAGAATTACGTCTGAGCAAAAGTAATGCAGTAATTACCTTTACGCCATGTTATCTAGTACAGGACCCCGCTGACAATAAGAGGAAAGGATTTCTTTATCTAGACAGCCTTTAATTAGTTATACAAGTTGATTTATTGCCCCTTTGTGTACTGCTTTTTTTTTATCTTGGGCATTAACTTTTGAGGACAGAAGGCCAAGTTACATTTTGATCGAATCAAGCGTTAAAGAAGTAAGGAAATAAAACAGTGTTTGCAGTTATCAAGCTGTGTGTGTATGTGTGTGTGTGCATGTGCGTGTGTGTGTGCGTGTGTGTGTGTATGTCTGTGTGTGTTTGTGTCTGTGTGCCTTCAGTTTTCCTGACCTCAGTGTGTGTGTAGACACATAAACATAAAGAACAATATCAGCTTGGAGAGCATTCATATGACTTACGATTAACAAAAGACAATCTGATACAGCTCAGATTTACAAATAAACAGCCATCATTAAGTCCATTTCTGTCTTAGCTTAGCATATACACTCACTTGCCAGTTTATTAAGTACACCTGTTCAATTGCAAACAGAACGGGGAAGAATGATGCGACTTCGAACGTGGTACTGTTGTCCGTACCAGACAGGCTGGTCTGAGTATTTCAACAGTTGCTGATTTTCTGGAATTTTTGTGTATCGTTCAAGAAAAACGAGCCAAAAAAAAAAAGAGAGAGAAATGATCCGCTGATAGCTCCTTGTTGACGAAAGGGGAGAATGGGAACACTTGTTTGAGATCATGGAAAGGCAACAGTAGGTCAAATAATTCATTAGAATTAGACAATACCAGGTTGGAAAAAGTGTTTCCTGGTGCTATGAATCTTGAATTCAGCTTCATGATTCAGGTAGTGGGGAAGGTCATAATTGAGTGAAAACAACATGAAAGCATGGATCTGTTCTGCCTCCTATCTTAGACTGACGGTGGCGGCATTTTGGTGTGGGGATTATTTTCTTGGAACATATTGTTTTTTTGGGGGGTTTTTTGCACCGAACGAGGATTGTTTAAACATCTCAGCCTACCAGAGTATTGTTGCTGAACATATCCACTCCTTTATGGCCACATTGCACATATCCTATGATGGCTACCTCCAGCAAGACGATGTATTAGAATTTGCAATGTAGACCTGACATATTGGCCAGTGAATGTCTTTTTGGATACCCTGTATTTAATCAGTGAGTTGGCCAAAAAGCATTGTGGTGAAAATACTCCTAAATTGTCAAAAGCAATCATTTTTCCTCTTGTAGGTGCCCCCGTTGTTGCCTCTTTTCCTCATTTCTACCTGGGAGAAGATAAATATATAGAAGCGATTGGAGGAATGTCTCCTCAAAGGCATCATCACCAAACGTTTTTAGACCTCAACCCGGTAAGCTACCAGAACGCACCGCTGTCTTCTATTTATACCAAAAAGATGTATTGCTACGCCACCTACTGGCTCAAAAGCAGTAGTGCAACCATTGTATGAACCATCAGAGGAAATACCATAAAGCATTTTTTCCCCCTCTTGACATAATTAGAGTCATGCAAACAGGTTGCAGGTTGGAATATCATTGAAAATCAATTTATTTCACTAATTCAGTTCAATAAGTGCAAGATATATATTGCATTTTCCATACACAAATTTATTTCAAGCATTTATTTCTGTTCATTTTGGTGATTGTGGCTTAGAGAAAATGAAACACCAAAGCTCAGATTTTCAGAAAAATTACAGTATTGCATAAGACAAATCAAAGTGACTTTTAATGGATCAATTTCATACTGAAAAGCAGGTTTCTTTACTTTCTTTATACGCTCTTACGTAACAGTCTAATTTTATAAAAAAGATGAATATTAGGATTTCAGTAGCTATAAACTTTTGTAATCTAGATTAACACACGAAAAAAAGTTCAGTCAATGACTGTGTGCAAATGACTCCAAATAATATACAATTTAAAAAGCAGCTTTTTGAACTTATTCACCAAAATACATTCACTTATATGCGATCAAATTTATTCAGGTTCACCTACGCATTTTATCTAACATAATAATAGTAATAATAAATATTTGGAGGATTTTTTTTTTTTTGCCGACAGACAACTGGAGTGGTTGTGCGTGCAAGCAAAAGAGCTCAGGTTAACATCTTGATCAACAGAATCTTTGGATACCCGTGAGTATCTGCATCCCAGTCTAGACTAAACGCCGCAGTCTTTTTGCACCTATATATTATTTATGTGAATCTTTACCTTCTTTTAATTTTTTCTTTCAACAGAGACACTAAATCATTGAAAGAAACAATCTTCCCTGTTATGTTCCTCAATGAGGTGAGAAATGGCAGATACACACACACGCACGCACACACACACGCACACACACACACACACAGTTTGATCAAGTGTTTTTGTGTAGATTTTCTACTCTCACGGACCAAATCAACAAATTTTAATTTAAACAGTGACTCTTTTTTTTTTATCAGAATATGTGATATCATTAACTAGTTTATTTATACCATTAACTAGATACGTTCAGTACCCTTAACCTAGCTAAGGGTAAGAGCTCCCATCACAAATTAAACAGTGAATTTAATACAACAAAATTACATAATTTGTCCTTATCTGACTTGATGAAAACAGGTCGCAGCTGCTATCATAGATTATTTTTGCCATATTCCTTTTTTTGTCATTTAGCCACTCCTTAACTCTACTTCTTTACTCTCAGAGTGTGGAGATCGATGATGCCTCAGCAGCGAAGGTGAACAAGCTGCTCATGATTGTCAATGTGGGCTCCAACTTCCCACTCATTATTATGGGACTAGGCGGGATAATGCTTATTGTCTTCATCGTCCTCCTGATCAGGGCCCATCAACAGAAGGTAAAACACATCCTTCTCGACCCAGGCATCTTTCTAACACCTCGCAGTTTGCTTGATCCTAAAAAGTAATTTGTGTTAATCCTTGTTAATTCAATTTTTAACCCCTCACCAATGTCACTATGCATGTATTTATCACCATTTATCTCTGTGCAGAAAAGAGTTAAGCGCATTGTGTTTACCAAGGCTGCCTATGCTGTAAGTCTTGCTGCATTGTTTCAATCCATTCATTCCTCTGTTGTATTACTTAATGCCTAAATGCATGACACACAGTTCTAGTGAGAAGTTTACTTGTGCTCACTGTGGGGATGAATTTTGAGGTTTAAATTATTTATTCAACCATTCACTTATCTCCAGCAGGACTGGCAAGAAGTGCAACATCAGTAAGCTTCAGAAACAAGAGTTGGCTGCACAATTTTGAATTATTTTGTGGATTTTTAATAATCCGCAGAGGTAAAAATTATAAATACAGCCTCAAATAAATACACGACATAACTATGTGAAACATCTTTTAGCGAGATTTACTTGGGCCAGACAGTTTTTAAGCTTTCCTGATATTTCTGGCTGGATACTAGACCACTCATCTTGGCAGATTTTGTGAATATCCCAAAGTTGCAACCTTTAATATCTGAAAAGAAAATAGGGATTTTCTTTAAAGCTTACTGCTTGTTACTAAGCAAAACTATTGAAATGAAATCTAACAATTGTGCTAATGAGAGTGGTTGAATAACTAACTAGACTATAGCAACACCTCAAGCACATTTTAGATGAGGTGGCAAGAGGTGGGTCAGTTATAATCTTGGAGTAAAATACCAAAACTTGAATTCAGAGTACAGGTTCAGGTGTTTTATTTTGTTGTTAACATCTGTTACAACAGAAGGGTTAATAACTAATTAATAATTGGCGTACACGAGGACATAACATTTACATAATAATAAATAGATCAACATCCACATCCACTATCTATATACTCTCTTACACAGAGACACATAGGAGATACAATCATGGATGAAGAATTTAGAGAGATTATTCAATCTTTCATGTGTATTTTTTGACTATGGGAGGAAGCAGAACAAACCCTTGGTCCATGAAGCAGGGAGAACATTCTTCATGCACCATATTGATGAAATCTAGAAGAAAAAAAAAAAATAAATTACTAGCATAAATAAAGATGTAATTATAATTACATTTTTGCCCATGATGAGTGATTAAAAACTTCTCTCTGGAAATGCATTTCATTTTTTCAGCACACAGTAAAGACCACCGTCACTCCCGGTTTTAACACTTTTAACACAGCTTGGTTATGCTGGAGCGTTACAAGAAATGTTAAATCCTTATCAGTGCAAAAGACAACACCAGACCTTTTAGTCAAAGACACAAAACATAAAATCGAAACTGAAGATATATGTTTTTTTTTTCTTTTCATCAATAATGCAGACCACGAATGAAGAGGACACCTCCTATTCACCAGTCAACACTAAGGAGAAGGACGATAGCCAAAATGGAAACTACATTGGCATGACGACTAAAACAGAGCAATAAACCTGGGAAAGAAGGACAGGATGGAGCTGCGAGACAGGGCGGTGTGGCATCCTTTTTCATTTTAAGCACAATGTATTAAATTTCCTTGGTTAAGCACATGCCACCTACAGTCCAGGTGTAGCCACCGGGATCCTAAAAGCTTTCCCTTTTTAGGTTATGTGCCACCAATCTGTTTTTAACTGGCTGGATTCTTGTCTCAGTCAGAGCTCAGTGCTGTCAGATTATGACGTGCTCCTAAGCCAGGCACCAAGTGTTATTTAGGGAAGCAGCTCATTGGTATCTGTAAATGTAGTATTTGTAAACCAGAGTCGTCGCTCTCAGGGGGTCTCCTGCCAAGCTGCTGTCAAACATTATTGAGAGACACAAAACTGCAAGCAATCTCTGTTTTTCTAAAGACATTTCAATCAGTTCAGTGTCATTTTGTCCAATTTCCCTTTGATTCACTCAGTGTTGCAAAAACATTTATTATTTTATATGTATATGTAGTCAATTTAGGACTACCTACATATAGTCATGATGTGAAGTGAGTTTCTTGTATATACTGGGGGAGTTGAACAACTTTTTGTTGTTGTTAGCATGTGACCGGGACAAAACTCAAACAAAACAAAGTGTATTTGGATTGTTCAAATTTTGTAAAGTTAGGCATTTCATGCAGTTTTTACTGTAAATGTTTATGTAGAAATATTTGAGTATAGAACATTTCAAGCCCTTAAAGTGATAACTCAGGATTTTTGCGGAAAAAGTTTTGCTTGAAGGTTTTCGCTAACATCTAATCTGCAGTAGATAAGTATCCTAATGTATTTATTTAAAGTGAATCCAGGTTAATTAATACAAGAAGCGAAAGGTGACGGCAAGCCCAAAAAAACTCCCTTCACTCCCTAACAGTATTTTGAGAACTCTTAAACGGTTTTATATTTTACATCAGACATTTATTTACAGAAAACTATATGATTAGTTTGACAAGAAGTCAACATAGGAATGGCACATTTGAAGCTTTTCAAGTCAAAGTAGCTGCATAATAGAAAAGTCAAGCAGATTCTCTGTACATTTTTTTGCATTTAGGGAGATCACTGTTACTTGTACACCTCATCCTCTATTGCAGGGGTCACCAACCTTTTGCAGCCTGGGAGCTACTTCACGGGTCCAGAGCAACACGAAGGGCTACTTTCCTTGGCTCACCCTTTATAACAATAATACATGCCGTCTAATCATATTAATGTTAGGGAGTATTCACAATAGTTATCAGTAATTATTACCATGGCAGCTATGGCTAATTTATTATGTGATCAGAAGTTCTTAGTTCAGTTTTAAGTTTGATTCCCTGTCTTAGCTTTTCTGTGTGATTCTAAAATTCCCACAAGTGACTGACAGTCCGGATTATTGCAGCTGTTGGACGCACTGTGAGATTTTCCTTTAAATAAAAAAAGAAAAGTTATTGTATATTTTTATCCAACTCTCTTTACTATTAACAAATTGTGCAGAGACATCTGCTGGCTTCTGCTGGCTGACACCAGATGTCGAGAAAAAAATGTCCGACAGATTGTAAGGTAGCACAAAACGATCCCTGCACCTGACCTGTAAGAGCGCATCATGTGCGCATCGCACAAAACCAGCGCAAACTTAAACCACTAAAGCAGCGAAGCCTTTTTTTTTTAACACAAACGACGCTAAATACAAATAAAGACATGGAAGCGAAGCTGACCTGTGATCCACGGAAAGAGGAGGATGTTGATCCCCGGTTCTGGTGTCAGAGGAGGAGAAGGTGAAGCAACAATGTTTGTTCAGTTTTTACTCTTTTAGGAAACGTTTCAACTAGATTAAATTGTTTAACCCGCAGTCTTAGCGTGACCCTAAGCAGGAGCGGCAGATGTCAGCTAACGGGTGACCCGTTAACTCTCCAGTTCGGGAAACATCAAAGTAGCTCAGAACCGGCGACCCGTCAGAACCGAACACGGTAAAAAGCTCAACCGGCATCCGAACCGCTCCTAGAACTACGGGAGGTTCAAACTGCGCTCATTCAGTTTTAGCTTACAGAAAAAGCGCCAAACCGCCAAATAAACAAAAGCAAACGGACCAATAAGATTTAAGCTTTGGGTGCCCTTTGACCCCCACAGACTCAGATGTGCGCCACGTACAAGATGTTTTGACACTTAATATATATTTTTTTTTCTCCACAATTTTGTTAATTGCAAAGAGGGTTCGATAATTAAAATTTCAGAAATTCTTCTTTTTTTTGTTTTACTTCAAGTAAAAAAAAACACATTAGTGCTGCTCTCTGCTCTAAGGTCGGCAGAGAGGTAGCAGCATGTCTGCAGTCGCTGCTGCCCTCCGGTGACATTTATGCATAAAAATTTACATTTAAATGTTTTTAATAATTAGCTTGTTTAAATTCTGAATATAAACAAATTTTACTACTTCAATGTAAATATATTAAATTAAATAATTTATTTGGCAATGCACCCTAATGACAATGGCTAGTTTTAGAACTTGCCCCGCGGGCAACTAACAAGAGGCCTGCGGGCGACAGGGGGCCCGCGGGCACCGCGTTGGTGGCCCCTGCTCTAGTGTCACTAAACTGGATTCATATTAAATGGAGACGCCAGGAAGTATCTACTGCAGAAGCAGAACTCCTCCTCAAACATCCTGAACCATCCCTTTCATCAGGAAGTTTTGATATACGCTGTTCAACTGCCTTTACTAACCAGCACGTTATTCAGAAAATTATTTTAACTGCTGTAGTTGTGCCTTTATAAAGATCAGGACTGTTGTGTGTCTTCTATTGTATTTGTTCTCTATAAATGGAGTATTATGCCATACGGAGTTGTCTTTTTCCTCCAGCTTCAAGCAAAAGCAGAACATAAGACTCATGGAAATGTCTTTTTTTTTTTCTTGTAATCAAATTAGAGACACAAGGCTGTTTTTATTTGATGTGAATTTTGATGCAATCTTGAAAATGCTGTGGAATGATTCAAGTGAAACTGTGATGAGCCCCAGCTGTGATGACTGCTCCTAAAACATGTCAGGAGGGATCTTAGAAGGAGTTCCCTATGCACATAAATGAAAAATCATGATGTACATATCAGACAGCAGTCTTCATTTTACTTTCTTTTAAAGGATAGATCAAACCAGTTACAGACAACTGAAAAAGTTAAATGGAGCTCCAATGCTGTTGCAGTTTTTATTTCATGTGAGCAGTGCATATCTGGAGAGACATGATAGAAATGTTGTTGCTTTTGTAATGGAAAAATAAGCAGTATTATAAAATGGAAATCTGTCAGAAGTCTGAAAGAGGGTAAATTATTTTTTTTTTGTTACACTTACAAAACCAAAACACTGACAATGTAGATACTAGTCTGGGATTCTCTGTACCAAATTTTGATCATGTTCTGTTCTGTGAAATTATTGTTACTACTAGAACCACATATTGCTCTGATTGTAATCATTTGAAATGTTGACTTGTTAGCAATGTTTTTACTGTGTTCACAACAATAAAGCATAGTTTCAGTAGATGAGTCTCATTACGTCGCACCATTCACCGTTTGCCTCTCAGTTTGGTCATTTTAAAGTTACAAAGATGAAGAGTCTGTAGCTTACCGGATTTGAAGGGAAATACTGAGAGACAGGTTGCATGGATTTGATGGATTGATGCATAGCTGGATCAACGGATGGACAGATAGACGAACGAATGGAAACATAGCCCTTTTGTATAGCAAAGACTTAAAAGCTGTGAGATCGATCGCAAAATCGGGACACAGATAGATTACTTTCGTTTGGGTATTGCCCACTTCCTCCGTGCTGAACAGCATTCACAAGTTGTACAACTGAATAAAGATTAAATGTTTCTTTAAACTATAATGGATAAAAAGTTAAAGAAGACTGTGAGTGCAAATCACTTTACAGAAAAATACTTGCAGCTGCTTGCAACATTAATAAACAAAGCAACAGTTTGAGGGCTGCTGTATGAGTAAATCTATCTCTGACAACATTGCAAGACAAGTTCAGAGTATTGGCTTTGTTTGTATTTTATAATGATATTCTATATTTTAGGAATAAGCAACAGAGATGTTCAGTGTCTCAAAGGCAAAAACATTATGATGAATATCACAATGACAATTACTAACTCATAAATAAGAGATTGTAAATTGCACACAACACAACTATTACTTTTATTAAGAAATAGTTTGCAATATCTACATAACTCACAGGATTTTGATGACTAGTGCCAGCAGACAGTGGACTTTTCTATAAGTATATTGACATTTTATATTACTGTGTTGTCATTAAGTCGTATTAAATTACTCTCTATAATTTATTTTCATTATTATTCCCTATTTTATGTGAATTTGAGCGCTTCCGTATTCTGTTTTATTCTATTCTAGTTTGTTGTCGACTCATTTTTAAGGTAGTAGCAATCTGAATTATGACCACAAGATGGCAGTACTTCCCCACATTGTAGAGTGACTACTGGCTGAAGAACAAGGCGAAGAAGAGTGCTTGCAGTGACAGTCGTCAACATGGCGTTCAGTTTTGGCGGTGCCGCGACTAACACAGGGCCAGGTATGAGCAATATTTACTAAGGTTTTTAGTTTTTTGTTAAACTCAGGATATGTCACATGTGTGTTACGAACGCGGGTTGCCGTGAAATTAATTTAGAACATGTTCATATAACTGATTGGCTGAACGTTGTAGCTAACTTACCGCTAACCCTCGACGTCTCTAGCAGTGCGGTAACCAAGCTAACGATAAACTCACTGGATTTTTCTTGTGGCCTTTACACATATGGCTTGGAAAAAGTATAATTTGTAGTAAAGACATGTATTGACTTCTATTGCTGCTTGAGAAGATTTAGAACCCGTCTTCATTTGCTGCGTACTAGCCATGCCTCTCTTGAGTTTGTTCTCTCTTTAACACAAGGTAATTGTAACTGAACTCTATGTGTTCTTCTGAAGGGACGTCCGGGTTTTCATTTGGTCAGTTTGGTTCCAAAACCACAGCTTCAACAACGTTTGGTTTTAACCCGACAGCGACCACTACCACCGCTTCTTCAGGCTTTGGCAGTAAGTCCTCACAGCTCCTGAATTGTCTACAAAAACCTCCACACTTAATCTCATAAGTAATTGGGGTTTAAGTGTGGACAAGATGGCCATCCACCATCTTGTTCACTACATATATTGTGGCAAATAGGAGTTTTTAAGGTTTTCTTCACTCCTCAATAAAGGCCTTTACACAACAACTGTATTTGATACTGAGATAAGAAGTACACACTGGTGGACTTTATAGCTTACTTCTAAAGCAAATTACTATTACTGGATTGTGAAGTAGAATGGCCGAATACAAAAACTTTTCAGGTTTTTCAGTTGAACAATTATACTCTGTGTTTGTCCATGACATAATCCTAATACAACACATTAAATCTTACACTCTTAACGTGATAAAATTTGATATGAGTTCATGAATCTTTGTCTTATTATTTTGTATTTACATCTGTGTGTCATTTTAAACACCGACTTGTTTGAATTTGTCAGCTCTGACGGCTCCTGCTTTTGGCGCAGCCACGACTACAGCTACACCAGCCACGGGATTTAGCTTTGGTGCCTCCAACACAGGTGAGACGAAGGTCCTATTTCAAGCCTCAAATGTGTCTGTTGTTTCTTTAGATGGCCCTCCTTCTAGGCATATGGAGGTTGTTAATAATACAGAGTCATTTTGAGCTCTGGCGTTGACATTTATCTCCTTCATGTTACTCTCTCTTTCTTCGCTGCCTGCCTGCTTTGGCTGCAGGATTTGGGGGGCTTGGAGCTGGAAGCAACACGGCTGGTGGGTTCAGCTTTGGGGGTTTTGGTTTAAATGCAAACCCAGCAGTCAGCTTTAGTGCAGGTTGCTTCGGTACAGCAACCACAACTGGCTCTGTTTTCAATTTTGGTAATAGCCTGGCTAGCACAGGTAGAGGACCTTTGTGATTCAGTTCATTTTGTGCCTGTCAATCATGGATTATTGTTTAGTTTTTCCACCTCAGTGCGGTGCAGTGATATATAT